AGATAGAAGACAATCGAGGTAGAAGGAGGACAGAGCGGCGTGCGTCTTCATTGATAAAATGGAAGTTCCGATAAGCTCTCCCAACACCAAGAGCTCTTATTTTAAGGAGATGAGGGTTAAACTACTGTAGTCAATATCACTGATAAGGAACCTTCAGCTTATCAGGACGAACCTGAAGTTCGTTAGGAAGTTCAAGATGAGATATTCTAATGCGACACTAAGGGAACTCCCGATAAGCAGGATCCTCACATGCAGAACAAGGGTGAAACTTGCATCGATCACACATTATCAATTACATTATGTGTGATACACATATTGCTTAACACGAAAATGTAACATATCTTTTCAATATTTCTAATACTTTCTGGCCTTTCTCAATACAAGAAAAAGAAAAATATTTAAACCCTCTTTTGTTGTCGCCACAACAATATTAAGATTTATTACTTTGTGCTCAATCTTCTCCTGTCTCGTTGTTGTTTTTTTTTTCTTTTGAACAGCTGAAACTGCTTACACAAGGGTTAATATCGTTTGTTTTCATATTTTTGGTTTATCTTCCTTCAGCTGACTAAAGTTTCTTTCGCAAAGGATGACCCTCTTGACTTGAGTTACTTACCCCCAATCTATGTTTTCCCTTTTTAGATTTGGATTACTGGTAGGTACGTACCCATTTAGATTCGTTACGACGTCAGCTATCCAGATAAACCAGTTCTCTTTTTTCACCAAAAATCCCAAAAATAATTAACAACCTTCTTTTTTTTGTGCCGCAACAGCAGCAGTCCCTTGCCAAGAAGTTTGAACGTTTCTTTGAAACATCAAAAAAAAAAACATTTATTCGGTTGTTCAGCAACGGTTGCCCCGACAAAAAAAAAAGAAATACAAATCATAAGTTTGTTCGAATAGACTTGTTTTTGTTGTTGCAGTTCTTGGGAACAAAAGACGAACACCAATCATAATAACCATAGAAACGAGAAAAAAACAAAAACAATCCTTAAAAAAAGAAAAGGTGAAACAATTTCATAAAAACAAATTAAGGTGAAACGCAATTAAGTATAAATTCACTTTTTTCCGACAAGTCTCAGAAAGGTGTGTGTGTGTGTGTGCGATACTCCAGAACCATTTCCAATATCTCTTTTAATGGGATATTCTCCTTTTCCAAGGATTTGGGTTTTCTCCATTATCTATTAATACCTTTGTAATATCCCCTATGAATTCTGGCCATAGGCTGGTTGTCTGTCTGCCTTGGTTCTTGGGGAAGAGTTCAAACGAGTTCTTGTGGGGGGAAGCGAACAAAGAACAAGAAATCCATCGGCTTATTTGGAAAAAATATAACCAATGGAAATGAAGGATGGATCATTCCCTATTTATTTTAAATACCTACCTTTGTTTTTTTTTCTTTTTTTGGTAATATGACCATTCACCTTTGGGCATAGAGTCGGACACGTGTGCATATCTGCTGGGCATCAATGCCATTTAAAGCACCTTTAGGGGCTAAATTAGTTTTTTGTTTTTCGATTCCAAACAAAGGCTATTTATTTTTTAGGAATTTTGTTTGCCTTGCCCTCCATAAAACTAAAACATGTTTGAAACTGACAGAAAAATTTGGATTGGATTTATTTTGATGTGGGTTACTTTTGACGCAAGGTCGGCGATTTTTATACCCTCCACCTTGAAAAGGAGGATATATTAACTTTGCCATTCCGTTTGTAAAATTCCTAAATAATCGTCGTAGAGCCCATAAAGTATATATATTCATAATCAACATAAAATTCTAAGTCGATATAACCATGTCCGTCTGTCAGCAAGTCCGTCCGTCTGCCTGTTGAATTCACGATACAGCCCACATTATTTGACGTAGAGCTTTTGAATTTGGCACAACAATGTGTATTATGTCTGGGATGGTTGGTATTGAAAATCAGATATATCGATCCATGTTTTGGTATAGCCACCATATAACGGTACCTCCCGATATTTGGTGTTTTGAAGATTTCCGCCACATTTTTCCACGGAATTGTCTAACAATTGGTATATTAGGTAATAATTGTTTCTAGTTTCACAAGCGGAAAATTTTATGAATAGGTCCACGTTTTGATATAGCACCCATATCACGGTACCTCCCTTTATTCGGTATTTTGATGATTTTTGCAACATTTTTTCACGAATTTGTCTAAAAATTGGTATTTGTAGTTCACAATTGGTTCCAGGTCCGGTGGCGAAACATAATATATATAGGTCCACGTTTTGTATAGCCCTCATATAACAGTAACTCCAGATTTTCGGTATTTTGAATTTTTTTGTCACATTTTTTCACGGATTTGTCTAAAAATTGTTATTTGAAGGTCGTAATGGGTTCTAGCTCCGGTGGCAAAACATTGTAGGTATAGGTCGACCTTTTTCATATTGCGCACATATAACGATACCCACCGAAATTCGGCATTTTGATAATCCTATTGACGTTTACCCACGAAATTGTTTTATATTTGGTATTTAAGAAGATTTGGTAGATGACAATCCTTGAAGTATAAAATTGTCAATAGAGGGTGAGATCAAAAAAACTGCAACAAAGTCAAACGTCATAATTTTGACATTTTTTTTTAATTTTATTGAATGAAAGCAAAAAATGTCGATAATAGCATCAAATTTTAGAATAAGTTTAGATTTGTTGGAAACGGTCACCTTTGGCACGAATTATGGCCTTCAAACGGCCAATGAAACCTTCACACGCTGCCCGAATGTTGCTCTGCGGTATATTGGCCTATTTCCGGCGAAGCGCTTGCTTGAGGTGATCGACACTTTGGTATTTTTTAGTGCCAACCTTGCTTTTCAAAATACTCCAGACACAATAGTCCAACGGATTGTTATACCGAGATTTTGGTGGTCATTGTGCGCTGGAAACGAAGCGAGGAACCGCGTGCCGAGTGCGATGGTGCTGAGTCCCGTTGAAACGTTCAAGGTCTGCGGCCAAAATGTTTGCGAGCCCAAGGCTTTAATAAACCCTTCAAAATATTTTCGCTATAATATTCGACATTTATTCTGATGCCACGGTCGATTAACACGAGCGGAGAGCGACCATCGGCTGTTATGGTGGCCCACACCATCACCAGGCCGGCGCTTGAGTTCTGGTGGCCAACCGAATGTGCACAATATCAGCTGACCTCTTTGGCAAGTAAACACGATAATTTTGTTTGTTTTCTCTTCGGAGATCACCACTTTTGGCCAAGCCAAGCAACTATTTAGCTGTTTTGAGTTTATTTTCTTTCTGTTGCGGTGTAAGTTCTTGAACTTTTTGGAATTTCAATGACTTTATCCCGAGTTCATCTATCAATATTTGCCGAATGAAATATTGTGATATGTTCAGCTCACTAGCCATTTTCCGGCCACCGTGACGCGAGTTTCGATCAAGTCGATTCTTTACTTTTCGAATCATTTCTGCTGATGTTGCTTTTATCTTCCGTCCACTTCCTTGACGTCGGGGTACGCTACCAGTATGAGGTAACGAGCGATGGTTCGAGACACAAAAGATTTATTCACATTTAAATGCTGGAGTGCTCTAATGATAGCCACTTGTCATATTCCAGCCAAATATAAAGAAAACACACTATCACGAATAACTTTTTTCCTGAAAAATTCTCACCAAAATGCTTGTGTACGCTTGTAAACAATATAATAAGCTGTCACTGGAATAATTTTAACAGCTATCGGACGAGTGGCTTAGAAATGACAGCAGTCTGAAGTTGGTTGCAGTTTTTTCATCTCTCTCCTCTGTATAGTCACTGGTCCTGTTATGCTTTAACAAGGTTCTCTTCGTTTCGACCTCGTCTTCTTGATTGCCTGAAAACCGCTCGCTGGACTTACCATTAGGTTTATATGAGCGTTTAATGATTGGATTTTGACAGAATACGCCAGCACCACTGCCTTTTTTCATCTTGGAACCGTCTCTGTCTATGGCCAGACCGTTCAAAGGAGATTCGCCAGCAGCAGACCAAGCGTCTCTATCCATCATAAATCGAAAAAGCAGGACATGTGATCACAAATTGTATCACCTTCACCAAAAGTATTCCAATATGTGTAGGTATGTCCAGGATCCGTACATAACCAATACGCGAAAATTGCCATCCTCCCGCTTCCGCTAGTCCCAGTGCACTCCTAGATCCTTGAAACTGAGCCAGTAGAACCTATGGCTGGATCTTTAGCTTCACTTCCAACGCGGACTGAGGAGTACTCTTGAGAGCACCAGTTATTTGTAAGGATGATTCTGTTTTAAGTTGGATTATTCATCCTCCTTTGTGGGTCTTTATTAAAATATACAACATTCATATTGAAAGGGATTTTAATGATTTATTTGAAGCCGATATCATCACCTTCATCGATATTGTATTTTTGGCCAAACAAACAAAAACAAACAACAAAACTAATACCTCGCCTTATTTAATATTCGAAAATGACATCAGGTAAATGTGTATGACATGCCATTCATTGTCTCCGATATTATGGGAAATTTTACAGGTGCGATTTTATTGGTATTTATTATCAAACGTCATCGTCATCGCCATCGCCAACATCATCAGCAGCAGCAGCAGCAGCGTTGTTATTTCATTGCTAAGTCAACGGATGGTTGGTTGTTTGCTTATGACATTACAACAACAATTTCCATGTGCTTTGTAATTAAAGTATAGAATTTTAAAATCCACAGAGATTAAAATCTATCTACACACACACACCCATACATACATACACATATGGTTGTAAATTGCTAATTTATGGCCTATTGTTTTTCAAATCGTTAGGAAAATGACATTCACTCGCTCGCTCGCTCGCTGGCTCATTCATTCATTCATTGATTTTCACTAGAATTTCCACAAGAATATCAATGTACAATAACAGCCAACAACAAATGTAGGTAGCTAGAATGAATAGAAGCTTATTAAGTATCATGAGAATGCAATTTTCCTGCTAACATTTTTTTTAATTACTAACTAAGTTTTTGCGAATGTCGATTTTTTTTTGCGGGAAAAACTAGCAAAATTCAGCATTCTGTAATTTGCCATGTCGTCGTCATATCAATGACAATCAACCCCTTTAGTATGACTTGAATTATATTTGCCTCAAAATTGCAGCTTTGAAGAAAGAATGTAGGACCAACCCCCTCCACCAAAAAAAAAAGAATGATGATAAATGACACAATTAATTGAACTTTAACAGAAATTTCAAAATGTCCACTAAATTGCCAAGTTCATTCTATTAATAATGAAAAACGATACTAAGTAAGTAAGCCAGCAAGCAAACGTTCGTCCTCCTTTCAGCTACTCACGCTCCTCATCCTCCTCCCCCTGCTCCTGTCAAATATCTATCTCCACAAATGAAAAATGCCAAATGGCCGGTCAGAGTCGGGCCATTACCAAAGTGTGAGTGCGGTGGTGGTGCTGTTCATGTAGGATATGTCTTATTTAAGAGTGGTGCAGATGGTTGATGATGAATTCAGTCCACCATATAATTTTCTATGGCCGCCGCCAATTGTCTTTGATGGATGAAATAATAATACACCATATGAATACATTTTATTGTTGATGATAAAGCCTAAATCTATCATCATTAAAGAGGAACTGGCCAAAGGGGTGGTGAGAAAGGGTTATTTAGTATTTATACCCTTTTAAGTATGCGCAGTTACAGTGTTAGATAGATATTCCACTCAAAGACTTTCCGGTCCAATTTGTTTGTCGTATAGTTAAAGCCTGGAACGGAAATTTATTAGGCAGTAGAAATAGTCTCCTAGAGAAGGTTAAAAATCGTGTGAGAAGAATGAGGGGGATGGGAGCATCTTAGCATCTATGATTTAATGTATTACATACCGACATTTAACAACATTTAAGATTCTTGAGACGACTACAGGGAGAGATAAAAAAAAGTCAAACGCCATAATTTTTACATTTTTTTTTTAATTTTTTCTGAATGAAAGCAAAAAATGTCGGTCACACGCTGCCCGAATGTATCTCTGCTGTATTTTGGCCCATTCTCGGCGATATGTTCATCTAACAAGCCATTTTTCGGCCACTGCGACGCGGGTTTCGATCAAGTCGCTTCTTTACTTTTCAAACCATTTCTGCTGATGTTGCTGTTTTCTTTCGTCCACTTTCTTGACGTCGGCTACGCTACCAGTATCACGAAAACGAGCGATGGTACGAGACACAAAAGATTAATTCACATTTAAATGCTGGAGTGCTCTAACGATAGCCATTTGTGGTTTTCCAGCCAAATATAAAGAAATTGCACTATCATGCTTGAATTCCATCACGAATAACTTCTTTTCTGGAAAATTCTCACCAAAATGCTTTTGTACGCTTGTAAATAATATAATGAGCTGTCACTCGAATAATTTTAACAGCTGTCGGACGAGTGACTCAGAAATGGAAGCAGTCTGAAGTTGGTTGCAGTTTTTTCATCTCACCCTGAACGTAATCGCCCCAAAACTGGCTTGCGTTCATCAGCTGCAATTGATGGGGTGGACTCCGAGGACGGCATACATCCTGTAACTGCTGATAGCATCTGCAACTGCATCGGTATAAATGCCACTCACACCTGCCTAATAGACTTCTTCATCTAGAGGTTCTCTTTTGTAGCGTTGGACCTCCCTCTCTTTAGATCGTGTATGTCCTTCCTGACACGACTGGGTGTGGGAGTTCTGTCCACCACATGATATTTGGGATGACTCTCACGGTAACACCCAAGCAGATACTGCAACGAACGCATATGATTATGCTGATGTAAGGGTAGGACTTCCTCCCCCTCATGTAGTTGGTCCACTGGTGTCATGAGAAGGCACCCTGTCGCAGTTTACAGGGCAGCATTCTGGCAGGTCTGGATGTGCTTCCACCGCGTAGCACTAGTATTCGCAGACCGCACTGGAGCCGCATAGCTGACCACAGACTGACCTATCGCGTTACAAGAGGTCAACAAGGTTTCCTTGTCCGAACCCCAAGTTCTGCCGCCTAGCACCTTGATGACCTTGTTCCTACTTTTCATCTTGTCGTAGATAGCTGTGGCTTACGCGGACGACTTGAACATGCTGTGGAATGTGACCCCTAGAATCTTGGGGTAGTTCGTGGTCGTTATTAAATTCCCCTCGACCTGAACATTCAGCTGTGTTCTCATCTCTGCAGACCATGTAGTAAAGAGTTTGGCCGTTGATTTAGTGGCGGATATTTTCATATTCCCCGCGTGGAAGTATGCCAAAGACGTTTCCACTCACTGTCCAAGAATATCGGTTTGGGATTTAATTACATCTTTGCTGCTGTTTTAGGGCTTTGATATACTATCTCTTCATAGCGTTTGCCATGGACAGCCGATTTGTTAATGTTCGGTGGAATGGCGCTTTGAATCCTTCACGGTTGCATTTTAAGTCTTGACGGATTTGTTGGGAAGGTGGTCTTCTCTGGAAGTCGATCCACACTGGCCTTTTTGGGCATAACCAGTTGCAACTGGGGGTACTATGTTTTGGGACGTTTGTTGTTATTGTTGTAGCAGCTCATACTGCCGTGTTCGATCTGACTCTTCTCAATCGGAATCAGCCTCTAAGTCCAGTCTCAAAAAGGATGCAACTTGTACGGCTTGGGTCCACAACAAGACTGAAGTTAGGTAAGTAGGTTTGGCTGGACAGCGAAATGGTGCAGCGTGTCATGTGGTTCTGTGCCACAAGCTGGACAGATGTTCTGCACATCGCTGTCAATCCAGGTCCAATAGAAATTGAGGCGACTGCACCATACGGATCTTAGTTGAGCCAAAACTACTCGGGTTTCTCGGGGAAGATCTCGTTCTTCAGCTGCGATCTGAGACCGCGTTAGCGTAAATTCTATTCAGTCCCGCTTGATAGGCTTGTTGATCTAGAGGCTCTCTCTTATACCTCTGGACCTCTCTCTCTAGATCATGAAGGTGGTGATTCGGATGGCTCTGTCGGCCATATCTAAGCAGGTATTGCATTGACAGCATATTATGCTGTCCCACAGGTAAGACCTTCGCCTCTTCACGTGGGACGTTTGTAAATTTCTTCCCTGAGTGTTGTTAAGAACCGAAGTACAGAGAAGAAGGTTGTCGAAACTATCCTCCTTTATTGGAATATATCTATCTTAAATCCCTCACGATTGCATTTAAAGTCTTGACGGATGTGTTGGGAATGTGGTCGTCTCTTAAAGTCGATCCACAGTGTTTTTTTTTGGTCACAACTACATGCAACTCGGAGTAATTGTTTTGGGACGTTTACAAATTGCTTCCCTGTGTGTTGCTAAGGAATGAAGTAAGTTCGTCGGAGACTACTCCCAATAATTTTTGATTATGTACTGTGGGTATACGCCTTCCTCCGATAAATATATCTAGCTCTAGATTAACTTCTAGAGTACAGGAAGTGAAGAGAGACACGGATGAGTTTGTAGGGTTAATGATTAACGATTGGAAGAATTTATTAATGGAGGCTAAGTAGTCGGATATCTTAGAACTTACCACATTAAAGTTCACACCTGATGAATTAATATAACTATCGTCAGCGTACGATTACATCGATATCTCTGGAGATGGAAGGAAGGCCTTCGGAAGACATAAATTGAGGAAAAATGGGTGAAATCCGCCTTGTGGCACATCTACTTTGTTCTTGGATATACTCGGTTTTATGCTCTAGTTTCGTTTTAAAATATTCATTACCATTTTGGACTTGCATAGAACCAGATTCCGCAGACCAGTGAGGGACCCCTTATACAACGCGCTCAGTCTCCGGTTAATTTGGTATTTTTTCTATAATCGTCTATTATCAGCATATACTTTTCACTCACTTTCCAAATTTTATTCATAAAATGTGTATTTTTTCAAAAACTGATAAAACCCATCACAAAATCATCAGCCTGCTGTAGTTTACGGCAAAGGTAGAAAAAAGGACATTAAGTAAACTTTTTGTCATTGATCAGATTTATTTGTACTTACCTTTGGTTGGATAACCATAACAAGCCACGTTCATTCATACTATAGCTAGAAGGCTCATAACATCTTGGAGAATATTATTTGCTGCGCAGCGCTTTTTAATCCCCCGAATACATTATGAATCCTTCAGTGATATTTGGAAATGGCCAAGGCAACTCAGATAATTGTGGCCAACTTACTCCTTTAAAGCGTTTCCCAAAATATTTCTTTATACACTTTACAAGTCTTCTATCTTATATACTCCACGTCATTATTCTTCCTTTCAAATTGGTTTCAAATAGTTCGGAATACATATTTGAAATTCCTCATTCATTTCAAATTTTTATTTTTGGGAATTTTTCTTCTTGAAAATTGCATGAGGCATGAATGTGTGTGCGACCCCTCCTCTTCTTTTTTTACGCTTCCAATAACTTGAGGTGTGATTGTGAAAGAAAACAAAACAAAAAAACTCAACACAGAAATTATTATACGAACGCTAATGAATATTTAATAAAGTGAAAATTATTTATGCAAAAGCACCAACAATTAATTCTGTTTGAAAATCACGAAGGCGAACAACAAAAATACTTAACCACCTATAGATTTGAAAAAAATGTATTATTTAATATCGTGTTTATAATTTTAGCACTTTCATAAAACCGTGACTTGTGTTTATTTTGATTTTCCCTTGCCTGTAATGCCTGTTCTCCCTCCTTGTCACTCTCTCTCGTTCCTTCTCTCATACACCGAACAACGGACGATTGAACTCAATTAAGGGGAATTTCTTTTTTTTTTTCATTTCTTGAGTTTCTCAATTAAAACACCTTTGCTGAGAATAAGAGTATGTGTGGGGGTGTATGTCAAACAATTCTCTAATTTAAATTCTCCACGCCACTGCCTGTCCTCCACCGCCCGCCATTCGCATCAAATGCCAAAAAGATATTCCTTTGTGAACACTAATAGCAGCAGCAACAACAACAATTGTTTGGCATTCTAACAATTGCAGAGGAAAAAGTATTCTTCTCACTGAGCAAAAAAAAAAGAGGAAAACAATTTAAAATTGAATTGAATTTGTTTAACGAATTGCAACAATAACAACAACTACCTACAATCAAACAAACACACACACATCCGCACGAAAAATAAGGTGAGAATAAAATTTAATTAAACAAACAATGAAAAAAGAAATACAGAAACAACAATAACAGCAGCGGCAGCAGACACCGACACCAACAATAGACGGACGATGGATGGATGAATGCTGGTGTGTGACAGACAGACGGACGGACGTTCGTTCGTTCAACCAAATGAAATGAACAACCGACCGACAACAGGTCAAAGAAATTAAAGAACCCGAATGATTTGTTGCTGCTATTGTATGCGGCGACACACATTGTAGATGTGCAACAAAAACAACAGCTACACAAAGAGATAGAGAGAGACAGACGAGTCGTCGAACAGCCAGAGAATTTGCACACAAGGAATTTTTATTTTGATTAAATGAAATTTAAACAAATTGAGAGAAAAAAAAATACGACAACCGACGATGAAATGCTACGTTGTCAAATTTCACCAACAACGTTGTCAACATTCCGGTTGTTGTTGCTGCTGTTGCTGGCGCGATCGTCGGTCGTCCACTCTGTCTGTCTGTCTGACTAACTGGCGTTGTGTCTCTGCTTGGCTACATCCTTACAGACATATTAAACAACAACATTTGAATAAGGGTTTTTTTTCTTCATTTCTTAAAACACACACGGACAAACAGCAACAACAGCAAGACATACGAAGATGAAGAAGAAAAACGAGAAAGCTTAAAAGGCAAAAACGCGTAACGAGTTCAACAGCAGTAGCAACCGCACTAACAAAGCACACACACGCACGCACACTCATGCAAACAAATTTACGCCATGTTGCCACATTTCACAACACGAAGAAGAAGAAGAAGCAGCACAGCAGCAAAGACTGTTATTATATTATAAAAATAGGCTTAAAAATCAAATAAGAAACAAACAGAGAGAAAAAAACCAAGGAGGAAAATACACGCACTTGCACAAAAACACACACATATATGGACAGACGGACAGACATTTTACAAACGAAGGAGAAAACAACAAAACTCTGGCCAGCAGGCAGTCAACAACAATTTTACGTAGACCATGGGTAAAGTAACCATTTGTGAAAGAAGTAGAATGAAAAGGAAGGGGAAGACGGGGGGGACTATGTTAGTTGGGGTTAGCCACCAAACATGTGATGATTACCACCCTACACATGTGCGCTTTGCTGCCATTAAATGGGAATCTAGGAATTTTTTGATCGAAAGAAATTAAAGACCTTAAAATCAATCAAGGTTTGCAAAAATAGAGGTATTTTGTAGGAGGCTACGTTTGGCGAGGAACAAATTTGAAAACATAGCAGAATGAACTCACCACGCGATTTTTTATGTCAAGCGTCATCGTTTAGACAACAACCGCAAAGGGAAATTTGAGAGTCGATTAAACTCTCTCTCCCTGGATTGTTATTATAAAGACAAAGCGTAGCGCGTTCATTCTGATATAAGCTTTTGTGGACTCTGTGGATCGGAGGAACCTCACAATCCATTTGATACACTATGCATTATGGAATAATATTTCTTGGGAAAAACTTGTAAAGGCGCTGTCCAGCAAAATTCTTTCTGAGAGAGTAAGTAGGTTTAATTCTCTCTTGCGAGAATTACGGTACCCATAAAGGAAGAACAAAAGATTCAAGTGATTGCAACAAGAAATGTACACGGCAAAATGTTGCAAACTCTCAGCAAAAGAGCTGTAAACATTACTCACCCGAATCGCTTTCATTTGCATTGTTACAAATTTTAGGGTAGACACACCAACCTATAAAAAAACGCAAAAATAAAGCAGAGTGGCCAAGGACGAACTCTATTGAAATTGTTGATAATCGGATCAGATTTAGATATAGCTCCCACATATGTTCAAATGATTTCGGGTTAATTGTGCACCAAATGGTCAATATAAGTCCAAATGACTTTAATTTTTGTACAGCCCACCGAATTTAGTCTAGAAGCAAGTACATCAAGAGCAAGTACATCAAAGAAAATTGGTTCAGATATAGCTATAGCTCCCATATAATCAGATTTGGTGTTTAAATCCCTCATAATATGTCCCTCGTAATATGCACCCCACAAGAATGATATTAGCTACCAGATATCAGATACAACCCAGAAATACCTCTGCCAATTTGTATCAAGATCGGCTCAGATTTGGATATATTTCCCATATATATCTTCATATCTATCGGCACATCCGACCGAATTCATTCTAGAAGCAAGTACGTCAAATTTGGTGAAAATCGGTGCAGATATAGCTATAGCTCCCATATATATGTTTCATCCTAGTCCCTCACATTGGTAATATGCATTCGACAACAATGATATTTGGTACCAGATATTTTATAGAGCTCGGAAATACCTTTGACAAATGTTAATGAGATCGGCTAAGATTTGGATATAGCTCCCTTAATTCGATTTCAGGTTTATTGTGCAAATAATCAGCCCAAATGGAGTGAATTTCGGGACGTACGTTTCCATTTTGCCGAACACGGCTCCGATATATATTTTTTCTAAAAAAAATCCTTCTTGAATTGATATGCATTCTATTGCAATGTTATTTGGTATAAAAGATAAAAGTGTTTCCATCAAATTTAGTGAAAATCGATTCAGAATCGGATATGCCTCCCATATATATTAGTTCCCTCTGAAGCCAAACTATAACTGCTCTAAAGACAAATGTTGATAGGTGGTATTATCCACATCAAAAAAATTCTTTTGTTACGGAATCTCTACTAAATATGCATAGTGTTGTAGGCCTCCTTGCTGCTTCAATATTATCTAAGTGATAAATATGACCTAACACTGGTAACGAGGTCATTCCAATTGGCGATACTATTATGACACTGTAATGTATCTTTTCTCAAAGAAAATTTTACACGAGACAGCTAAAATAAGTTTTTCTTTTGTTAAATTTATAAAAATTCCAATTTATTTGAATTTAAATACCAAAAATACCGACTCTGTGACATAGCGACCTTTGGTACCTTTAGTTAAGTGCCCACCTTGGAATTTAGCTATTTTTATTCTATAATGCAGAGTTGTGTGTTCAATCCTCACTAGTTGTTGATGTAGGGGATATAACAACGTAAACATACCATCAATCCATATAAGGAAGACCACGAACGAACATTAAGTACAAAACAAAGAAGAAGCATTAAATTATAGAAATGAACACAACAACAGCAGACCAAGCAACCAGCCAACCAACCAACCATAGAAAGAAAGAAGTAAAACATGTTGCCGGGTTGCTCGCGTACAATCGACAAAGCAACAGCAGCAGCAGCAATGTTCAAACCTACATTCATACGGACAACAAATAATGACATGGTTGTGGTGTTGTTGTTGTATTACGACGATGACTACGACGGCGAGGATGATGACGACTTAACGATAAAGACCTACAAAACATGAGGCAGCAACAACAACGCCAGCAACACACAGTGTGCTGTCGGATGGACATAAACAAACAAAAAAGAGCGAGCGACACATTTACAAGGAACAACAGACTGACTGACTAACCAACCAACCAACCAAACGAACGAACGATACGACAAACCGACCAAATGTCGCATTCATCCCGTCCGGACAATGGTCAAACTGGTCGTTTGGTTGGACCAACAGACAAACAACAGCTCAGCAAAAAATACTTGGTTCGTTATTGCTTGTGGTCGTCGTCGTCATCATCATCATCAGCAGCGTCGCAGTCGTCTCTGTCGTTGTTGTATGAATGACTGGCTGGCTGCCCAAGAATTGTTTTTATTGCGGTGTATGTCGGTATGTTGGTTGTATCGTTTGACGTGTTTAGACTTTATAAACGACCGACAATTCATGTTCGTTCGTTCGTTAGTCGTGTGTAAAATGTGGAGTGTGTTTGTGTGTGTGTGCGCCAAATGAAATGTGGCAACATGGCAAAAACTCCGACAAGACCTACACACACATTTTTTCCTGCGCTTGTCAGTTAGTCAGACTCACTCACTGGCTGGCTGACTGACAGACAGGCAGGCAGGCAATTATAAGCAACAATGTTTTAAATCAAACAACAGCAGCAACAACAACTTCATACATTTACCCGACTGGCAACCCAATACAAATGAAATATTAAGCCAAGAAGAAAAAGAAGAGAAAAAAACAACACACACAACACAAAGAACAAAATAAACGGACCCAGTCAGTCAGCAGCAACAACAAAGTCCAAAGCACAAGTGTATGTGGATGTTGTTTACTCATAAAAACCGGCTATTAAGACCATTCTGCCTGTCAGGCCAGTCCGCCAGTCAGCTAGCAAGCTGATAACCAAACAGTGGTAGTAGGCCTTTAATAGATCAATGCAATCATCGAAAGGGGGGTTTTTGTTTTTTTTATCCCCCAGAGAGGGATAGTGAGAGGAGAATGCATGAATAGGCATTATTTTGAAAGAGCAAAAGGAGGGGAAGCATTATTATTTTCCCCTTTGCCTTTCAAAATAACCAGAGTAATCATGTTCTCTTGTAAAATGACACGCAATAAACTAGCAACAAAAACAACAATTGTCCGTCCAGCCACAGAAACTTGTATTTAAAGATTAATCATAAAATTAAGTATGGACAAAATAATTTGTGCCCATGCAAGAAAGAAAACTTGTAATGGATATGACGACGACGACGTCGACGATGTCATTGCTGACTGCAGTCGCATGAACTTTGAGTTCACCTCATGTTGATGATAATGATCTATAGGGGAGAGATTAAAAACAAAAGAGGCTTTGTTGAGAGAGTAATTGTATGTGTAAAGATGTGGGAGGGCGGGTGAGAATGGTGTAATGGCATTTGGATTAGATTGATTAACGAAAATATGTAAATATGTATGTATGCATGCATGCATGCCTAAGTGGTGTGGAGGTCATTGTGTTCATTGTGCATTGCCGCAATTTTAAAGTTGCATGGCCACACATTAAATTGACTTACTTTGGCCAAGTGTGGCAAAAAATAACAAATGATATTAAAAGCGGCATTTGACAATAATTTATTTAAACTGAAGCTCTTGAAATGGATGTAGAACGGTGAAGGAAAATCGAAAATGTGCGGTTGTAAGATTTACAAGAAATACCAAAGAAAACTTTGTTTCCTTTGTTCTTGGGTTCCTCTTCTATTGAACTTGCAACAGCAAGACGGTTCTGGGACTAATATTGTAAATACATGGGTATCAAAGTGCTCCGCTCGATTCGAAAGAGAAGTATCGGG